CTGTGTAGTGTTAGCATGGGTGGGCGAGCTACCAGTTACTGTTCGCGCACGAAGCGAACGTTGGTTAGCCCGTAGAACACCTTTCACACATGACAAACCCACCCTTGCTAACCCCGAGACGACCGTGCGTAATCAATCTAGCAATGGGCGATCTTGAATCTAAACACAAAAGATCGATTCTTTTGGTTCCATTAATCAATTTTTTGAATCGATCCCAAACACGACAAAAATCGACTGGATCGATCCTTTTCATTCGATTTTTGTTTGGATAACAAAAAAAAAGTTCAGTGCATTCACATTTGCAATTTAATATTATTTGTTTGTCTTCACCTTTGTACATCACTTACCTTGAACATGGATTCTGCCAAACAACCCGTGTGACAGTTCAGTAAGCAAGAACGAGAAAGTGAAAGTTTGGGGCTCCAGAGATGATTATAGACCTTTTTGACGTTTAATTGGCTCACGCTCGGACAGTTAAAATGGTGTCTGAGCAGATCTATTGTACCGAAAGAGTATACGATGATATGCACACATCTGTCCCCTCACTAAAACCAACCGGAGGCCTGTGGGATATTCATGACGAAATGGTAAAGAAAATTATTAATCTACATATGTACAAACATTCACTTCTTATGACATATTTCAGGTTCATCAGTCCTCTGCTATGTCAGACCTGGATGGCCATGGGCCATTGGCAGAATTATAAAATTTCTTGCATCAGCCTGTTTTCCCACGTTCTGTCGATCGTTTTCAAGCATGAGAGAAAATCTGTAGTGAATATCCCCATGTGTACTCCATTGCTCGAGACTATTTATCAAGAATGATAACAAGTGTTCCGTCAGAGAGGCTATTCTCTAAAACTGGTGACACACACAGAATCGATATCGGCTTAATGCAAAACGCATGGCTCATTTAGCTTTCTTGGGGTCCTTTTCGAATGAGTGTTGGGATATTTGAATTAAGTACTTTCCGTACTTACCTGCTTTCACACTCCGACCATCTAATCGTTTTGTTTCATATGTTAATCTTTCGTTTTAAAATCGTTCATTTAATACCAATAAACCGAATACTATAACCTGTTCAATCACTCACCTTATCAAGTATCCTGAGCAAAAACTTCCACATGTCAAATGAAATCAAAATGGTCATTTACTATGTTCTCATCATGTATGTATGTTACACTCACAACTTTTACTGCATACGTACTACACAATTTATTTCTAAATTATATCAATCATCACACTAGATGAATATTATAAGTTAAATGTCGTAAAAATATAGCATATGTAACGTAATATAAACTTGAAACTGAACTTGGCGTTAATTTTCACAAACTTCCCTATGATCCGTTATATTTGAAACATTTCTGTGCCATTTTGAAAAATGTATCGATTCAAAAGATCGATTCAAAAAGATCGATTCATAATCAAGCTGAACATTGCATTAGGTCATAAGTAACATTGACAGATTCTCTTCGTCGACTTTCTCTTGGTATCCCCACGGTGATGTAAAGGCCAGGTATTTTCAGCACACAGATCGATAAAAGAATCTTTTATCTAGTATCTAATACAACAGACACAACAAGAAACAGTTATGTGCTCAAGTTATTATCAAAAGAGAAAGTCGACAAAGAGAATCAATCAATGTTACTTAGGACCTTATGCAATGTTCTGCTTGAAATGATTGATTAAATCGGCGAATCGATTATTTTCAAAAAAAAAATGAATCGATTCAATAAGATCGATTCTTGGCTCAAGATCGCCCAATGTTAAATCGGTCCCTCACCTACTAACGCCCTTGTCCATACAACACGCACTGCTCACCCTAGACACAACTTTGATTTCCGCTTGAATGGTATTTCACGAATAATGGACATGTCCCAACACACCGCCAAGGACAGAATGCAAGGATACCTGTCAGCTGAGACGCTTATTGGATCTTTTCCAGGAGATCATCACTGCAGCGAGAAATAGGAAGAGTATAAGAGAAAATGAATTTGCGCGCAGCGCGTCTTTGTTGTTTTGAATACCGAACCGGAAACATTTAACCATCGTATTAGATTGAATTGTCACCTGCACAGCCAAAACAAATTAGCCTTTTTCAAGGCTATGTCTAGTTAATCTAAGTCGAGCTAGTTATTACGATGCGTTTCCGAGGAGTCCCTTCAACCGAAGGGAATTTACATACAGTCCACCAGTTTCAACCGAGGCTCATTCCAGGCAATCATTCACATGAAGGAGTTGGCCGTTGTCGAGGGAATATTCCGACAACCCGTCGGGTTCCTGCAAGTGTCCAAGACCGGAAAGTTACGTCAAATCGACATTTCATTGTTTACAAAAGCTTATACGTCCCTTCGAAAAAATAATCGAGAAATTGGAAGTTTCATGCAAATCGGAAAAGTTCAAGTGTGGAATTAATTTTTTGCTATTTGGCCTGGAAATGTTCTACACAACCCAAGTAACCATTAATCACCGACAAACCGACATGAAACTTAAACTTAACTCTTAAACGAGAATCCATAACGGCCGATTTAAATGTGCAGTGATCCCATCTGTCAAAACCATAGAATTTTTTTATCTAGATAAAAATAATTTGTCCGAAATAGATTAGACACGATCCAACTCATAAATTTTGTACGCGTGTTCGTGGCTTGGATAAATATTTTCCGCGAACACGGCGGCAGATGTCAGTTTTGTGCTTTGATCAGAAATTTCTTTATAATTTGTATGATTATTCATGTCGGTTTGTCGGTGATATAATGCTGATATAAGGCTTATAAACCGTTAATACCTCTGCGTCTTACACCAGCCGGATTCGAGACAAACACCATTTTTGAGGGATTGTTGTCCATTCTTATAATGGAATACCTGAAGGATACCTGAATAAAGAAAAATTAAAATGAAGTTCTTAATCCAGATAGGGGAAATGGATGCAATGTCGGCCTAAATGCCCCTAATTTGGGCCCAAACATAAATTCAGCAATCGACTAAATTTTCAATAGCGACCAAAGATATCCATTAGTACCGTCCCAATGACGCGTTCATCTAGATAAAATTGATAAATAGCAGATTTTTAGCGATGGGCCCAATATTAGATCCATAGGCCAACATTAGTGCCATTTCCCCTATATACTATTTACTTACAAGCTACTTATTTTTTATGTGATATCTTGCCAAAAAGGACAAAATTATCATTAATACAATGCATGAACTGACATTACGCTGCTTTTACTGCATTTGTTTATTTTTGTGGCCATAAAAATTAAATCCGTTTTTCGACATGATTGAAGTGCATACTCTTGGATGTAATATTAAAATTTATTTTTCACTGTGTAGAGACCCTGTAGAAATTATTTTCCAGACCAGATTCTTTTCTCAAAGTTCGTCCGTTGTAATTTTTACCGAATTTTCGTTCCGAAAAAAAAATACTTTTACGATTTACTTACCTGCATCGCCGTTTGAGCTCGTCTCCATTACAAGCAACCAACTCGTCGAAATCCAACCTCTCCGGTCAGCGCTGCAACGATAACCATCGCGATGTGCATGATAGAAAACTTCCCTCTGCCACAAGAACACTCTGTGTAAAGGGTGTCCACGATGAAATTGCCACACTATGAAATTGCTCTAACTTTTTAACCGTTGGGTAGAATTTAATGAAAATTTGGGTGGATTATTTCATAGTTCATTATTTACATCCTGCAAGTTTTAAAGTCCTGTGATCAAAACTCGCGGAAATGGAGTCGAAAGAACAGCTCGTGCGTGATAAAATCTTGCGCATTCATCACGAGAACAAGGATCTCTCGCATCGTTCCATCGCTAAAACGTTGGGAATCGCGAATTCCACGGTGTCGCGAGTGATTAAGCGGTTCGAGGAACGGTTGACCACCGATCGGAAGCCCAGAAGTGAAGGAAAAAGTATTCCGTACAACACTAAAAATCGCAACCGCGTAGTTGGGGCCTTCAACCGAAATCCGAACGCCTCCGTTAGGGATGTGGCTAAGAAGCTGCACCTAAGCCGAAGTTTTGTCCAGAAGGCCAAAACTAAGGCTGGGCCTCGAACGTTCAAGGTACAAAAGGCCCCTAATCGCGACGAGAAGCAGAACAAGTCCGCCAAAACCCGTGCCAGGAAGTTGTACCTCAACATGCTGACGAAAGTTGAATGCTGCATCATGGACGACGAAACATATGTGAAGGCCGACTTCAAACAGATCCCCGGCAACCTGTTTTTCACGGCCAAGGATAAGTTCAGCGTTCCGGAGCATGTCCGCACTAAGAAGATGTCCAAATTTGCGAAGAAATTCCTGGTTTGGCAAGCCATCTGCCCGTGCGGGAAGCGGAGTGCACCTTTCGTGACCCAGGACACGATGAACGGACAGGTGTACATAAAAGAGTGTCTCCAGAAGCGGCTGCTTCCTCTCCTGAAGGCCCACAACGTCCCAACAATCTTCTGGCTGGATTTGGCCTCATGCCACTACTCCAAGGACGTGCTGAAGTGGTATGCGGACAATAAGGTCAATTTCGTGCCGAAAATGTTCAACCCTCCCAACACTCCGGAGCTCCGCCCCATCGAGAAGTACTGGGCGATTATGAAGCAGCACCTTCTTAAACGACCTAAGGTAGTGAAGACAGTCGAGGAACTGAAGAAAGTATGGGTTTACATGCAAAAAACGGTTGATTCACAGGTTGTGCAGAATCTTATGGCCGGGGTTAAGCCCAAGGTGCGGGCATTTGCGTATGGACTGTAAATAAAATACGAGTAAAATGGTAAAATGAAGTTTAATAGTTACTTCTCAATCCCTGAAAATTTGATGGCAATCGGATGAAAACTCGAATTTTGCGAATCAATTTTGTGTGTGGCAATTTTATCGTGGACACCCTTTATGAACCTTCGGCAGGAGGGCTCTATTTACTCCCAATCGTGATCGACTCTTCCTTCTACCACATTTCTCCTACTATCAAGTAGCACGAATCTAACCATCTCTCTTTTCTCTCCATTTCCAGTAAACCGACCCAAGGGGCAGCACTCAGCGCCCCGTGGTGGCCCACCCCGGTCATGGACCAACGCCGAGCTGACGGAGGCCCTGCAGCACGTGTGGAACAAGAAGATGACCACCAGCCAAGCGTCGCGGATATTCGGCATCCCGTACAACTCGCTCCTCATGTACGTCCGGGGCAAGTACGGCAAAAGCCTCAAGCTGGAACAGCTCCGCAAGGACTGCATCAGTGGGCCGCCGATCGAACTGCTCCAGATGGGCATGAACAACAACAACAAGGACAAGAAGGACGGCCAGGACAAGGACATGCCTCATCACCATCCGGGTGGCAATCCCAATGGGAGTGGTAACGGTGGTGGTTCGGATCAACGAGGAGGTCCCCGGTCGGCTTCCTCGGAACCAGAGCTCCTCTCGAGTCCAAACACGCTTTTTAATCCCTTTCCTCCTGGATTCTATCCGGACTTTCCCGGTGGTTTCCCAGGGCTTCCGCTGAGTATGCTTAATCTCCTCCCTCCGGACCGACATCATCCGGGTGCGCACCAGTTGGCGATGAGCATCGACGAGGACTGCAAAAGCGACCGATCGAAGCAATCGATGGACGATGACTTCCCGCAACCGTTGGCGCTGAATCGGTCCGGGCTGAGTGGAGGCGGCGGGGGAGGAAGCGTAGTGACGGATCGAGGCGATGGACCCCAGTCGGACAGTCGACGGGAAATCTACCAGCAAAATGGACAGGATTAATATTTGTACTTTCTTGACCGACTCAAGGCAATGCCGCGGTATCCCAAGTGGGTGGGTTGAGAAAGAGTGAGAGAAGGCGCGTGCGGGGGCTGGGGGTAGACAAGCAACATTCGGCTGTGTGATAAATCGAAGGAACGACGGCAAAGTAAGCGGCGGCGGTGGATGAACCTACTATATCGACTTGGTTGGTGTCTGGGATCGCAGTAAGCTGCCGCCGACCGTTGCTGTTGGCATATGATGATGGTGTAGAAGTCGATAGAAGGTTACTCGCGGCGGCTGACGAGAATCGAGCCGCCGTCGGAAGCTTTTCAGCGCAAAAGCTGACACTACTGAACAGAGCAAAACAACAAACGAAAACGTGATAGTGGTTAGTTTTTATGTTTATTCGAATGATTCCTAATGATTTTATTTCTTTGTTTTATTGTAATGGTATATTAGTTGAACTATTATTTAGATGCAATGTTATAGTAGAACAAATGCAATATTTTATTTTTCCTAAGCGAGAATATGTAAAGTATTTTATTTTATTAATTAGCAGACAGATGCATACACGCAAGGAGAATCTTTTGGGGCAATATTTATACTCGAAAACATGTGCGAATAGAGCAAGTTAGAACTGCACACCAATTAGTTTTGTGTCTATTATAATTAGTTCAGCGAGATGGTGCTTTATGGAATATAGAGTTTTTAGTTCTTACTTACGAAAGCCAAACACACCGACAGACAGCAAGATATTGACGGTTCTCCATCGTCAGGGTGGAAGAACTATCCGATGTAAAGAAAAACGCAAAACAATAGAACTACTAAACATAAGAGATGAACAAACGTGCTTCCTGAGTATATAAGTTAAAGTATAAGTTTTAAAATCCAATTTACAGTGAAACTATAAGCAGAGAAACGAAAGCAACCGATCTAATTGAGTATGTAAAGAAGAAATAGGTGGTACAGAACAAACACACACAAACACAAACAAAAGAAAGGATACTTAACTACTACATAACAATAGCTAATTTATTTATGAATCATAACTAAGTGAAGAGCTGATGTCAGCGTAGGATCTGTGTATTTTCGTTTTATTCCCTACCTTTTAGTTTCCGAGTAGCATAATTCTTATATTTTTTGTTGAACATTCGATACAAATCCCTCCTTCGTTCTAAGTGAAATAGTTATTTTCTAGTATTATTTTGAGGTTCTATGAGTTTTGTATATTTCTATTATTTACATTTCCGCACCACCAGCCTACTTCCAAGAAGAAGCAAACGGGAACCAACAAACGATACAGTATTAATCAAATAAATACAGCAATTTTTTACACAACTTTCTGTTTTTGTTTCGTTTTATTTTCTTCGTTTTCATCACCCCCTACCACTGACAGCCATAAATAATCAATAAAAGACTGATAATCCCTTTTTTTTTCGTTTTCCGTTGATTTTTTTTTTTTTTTCGAGAAAATCCTTGTTTTCAATTTTCCGTTCCGTTTTTCTTTTTAAAAACAGTAATCAAAATAGCCAAGTGTAAGTTGAAAGGCCAACCCAGAAGCAACCAACATTCGATCGAGTATCAGTGTTATTTAGAATTAAAGTCATTATTAGGCAGGAAGAACGACAACAACAACAGCAACAGCAACACAACTACAGCAAAAACTATTAACCTAAGCAGAGGATAGGACCGCAATCGCTACTTTAGTCTAGCAAGCAAAACAAAAACGCAGTTACAAAATGGAAACTGAAATGGAACTAATTTTAACTCGCATTACATAGGTTATTAAGAGGCGAAGGCAGACGATTGTCACTTCGTAGGTGAATGTCTTGAGCAGGTTTTAGTTTACTTTACTCTGTTTTAGTTTAGTGCGTTTTCAGTTACAGTTACAGATAATAGGCAGTTAAATCTGTTCGATTACCTCAAATTACTATACTATTGAAAGAAGCGAAAACCGGCAAACAAAGGCGGAAAGGGAAATAGCTATACAACTGATGATGATGATTATTATTATTGAAAATAATTGATGCAAAGAGCGCCGATAAGTTGTAATGAACATACTTAACGATGCAACACAATAGACTATTTTTTACCAAGAAAACAATTGTTATTACAAATCAAACCGAACAGAACAAAGCAGACAAACAAACAATAGTTCCTCAATCAGATTAAACGGTTACATGTATACAGAACCTGCTTGCGCAGTTTACTGCAAATACTGCAGCTCCATAGCCAAAACCCAACAACAATAGCAACAAATCAAACGATGCAAAACAATAGAATCAAACGGATCCCATGGGGATCCAGGACCGATGCAATGCAATAGTTATTTTTTTCTGAACAAGGATGCGCTCAAAATTGGATTAGGAAGTGAGATTTTTTTAGTTTCTTATCATCTTTTTCCGTTTTTGTGCATGTTCACATGATGTTATGAGGCTCCGTGAAGCTGTTAGGTCCAACAATTGCAATGGGCAGTCGATGAGCCAGTTGGGCTTCAAGCTGAACATTGCATTAGGTCCTAAGTAACATTGCCAAATTCTCTTCGTCGACTTTCTCTTTGTATCCCAATGGCCAATTACATGCCCATGTATTTTCAGCCCACAGATTGATAAAAGAAGCTTTTATCTAGCATCTAATATGACAAACACATCAAGAAATGGTTATGTGCTCAAGTTATTAACGAAAGAGAAAGTCTTTGCGTCGACTTCGTTCAATGTTACTTAGGACCTAATGCAATGCTCAGCTTGATTTTTAGTATCAGAAATACTTAAACAGAACTACGTGTCCCGCAGAATGCTAAGGGCTTCATGAAGCCTAAAGGGCTCTATCGGGACATCATAAAACACTTTGTTGATCCTTTAGATCCTCAAGATCTAGACTCCGGTATGACATAGAAAACTTTTGAAGCCATGTTCCTCCTGTTATCTCTTCTCTTGTACTATTATCGATTGTCCCAGATTCTATGATGAATGATCAACGTGCTCATGAAAGTTCAATTCAAGAACCACATGTGAAAAGGGCATACAAGTGCCGTTTTCTTGCCAGCCGAGGGTTGCCCACGCAAAGCAAAAACCAACAACATCATCGGGAAGCGGAAAGTTTTCCCTACCCGGTGATGTTGATGGTTTGCGTTGGTGTCCTATGGGTGACGAGAAAAGGGCATAAAAAGGTTTGTTTACAAAAAGCTTGTATGCCCTTTTCACATGTTGTTCTTGAATATCATATTAATTTTAATAAATGACCTGTTGCGCAACACTTTTGCTGAAACAAGTATTGGTGATTACGAAGCAAACCAAAGTTAAATTTGGCTGGACATGGTGTGAAAATTGTAATTACGCTTTGCTATCTGTCATATCGCAACGACAAATTTTTAGTACATCATCAATTTTGTAATTGCAGATCTGAAAACTTGGTGTCGCATGACCACTTTTAGCTTTGCTTAAATTTATCAATTCAGGACTACGAAGGTCCAGGAATTTTTTGGGATGGAAATTTTCTCGACTTCCCTGAGCACAGAGTATGATTGAACCGAGGGGGAAGACAGTGAGAAATTGAGAGCAATCCAGACTCCGAGGAACTCTTTTGCTCTCTGATGAACGATTTTATCATATCGATTGTTTTGACAGCGCAGTCCAAGCAATCAATGTTTTTGGTGTAAAGGAACGTTAGTTTTTTCAGCCGGTGATCTATGCCTTAAAATACACTCAATTCAGCGGAGAACCTGCTAGCAAAACAAACATCACGCAATAACTTTGCTGTTTTGATACAAAATTAATGGACCTAGGGGGGCGTCTGTGGGGGTTTAGTGAAATAGTTTGTACGTTTTATTTTCCTGTTCTAGCAACCGAGACCCTCACAGGATTCATCCTCAAGTACATGTTCCCATCGGAGCTGGTAGCCGGAAGGGAATATTCATTCGCTTGCTCTAAGCATCTGGATGTCCAGTACTACGACAGCAAGATCCTGGTCAATTTCATTATCAAAAGCCCTGCAGAAAGCCATCATCAGAGTGATTTAAGAAAATAGCCAAAACTTCAATGGACTGATAGAAAACGAGATCATTTCCTTGTTTAAATATCCATCCATTTATTTTCTTCATCAATTGTTTTCGTTTCGTTATCGAACTGACATTTGCATAGTCAGATTTCAAAACTATATGCCCCACTAATTCTGTATCGTCACAAATTATATCAGAGCCCAGAGTAAACCAGAGTAGCTCTGAGCAACTCTGAGTAAAAGAGGTACTCAAATGAAAGCCGTCTTCCCCCTCGGATTGTACTTGCCACACAATTATACCAATGCAAAAATGGTACAGGTATCGAAAACTCTCACCTCCGCACCTGCTGGTCGTCACTTAAATTCATCAGTTAGATTATCTCTAAACGGCGATGTTTGACAGCTGGTTCCGAGTAGAAGTTAAAGGGTGATACGGTCAAAATTTGGTCAAGGGAAAACGCGTGTAAATCGGTGAAATCATTTATTTAAAAAATCAAATTAAATTTCTTTTTCAAGTTCAATTAGTATAAAATTCAGGAAAAATATTCAGTTAGGCTTCCGCTTTTCCAAATCTGGATTGCCGGGCCTTACGCTTGACCCCTGCCATCAGATTTTGTACAGCCACCTTGTCCACCTTCTTCGCCGCAGAAAGCCAGTTTGCCTTGAACTGCTGCTCGCCCTTAGCAGTTTTTTTTGGTCTTCTTTAGGTTCCGCTTGACAATAGCCCAGTATTTCTCAATTGGGCGGAGCTCTGGCGTGTTGGGAGGGTTCTTGTCCTTGGGAACCACCTGCACGTTGTTGGCGGCGTACCACTCCATGGCCTTTTTACCGTAATGGCAAGATGCCAAATCCGGCCAAAACAGTACGGAACAACCGTGTTTCTTCAGGAAAGGCAGCAGACGTTTATTCAAACACTCTTTCACGTAAATTTCTTGGTTGACAGTCCCGGAAGCTATGAAAATGCTGCTTTTCAAGCCACAGGTACAGATGGCATAGATGCCGTATAAAACTCCTGTCCCGGAAGCTGCTTGTAGTCGGCTTTGACGTAGGTTTCGTCGTCCATTACCACGCAGTCAAACTTTGTCAGCATCGTCGTGTACAGCCTCCGGGATCGCGCTTTGGCCGTCGTATTTTGTTTATCATCGCGATTTGGAGTCACTACCTTCTTGTAAGTCGATAGTCCGGCTCGTTTTTTGGCTCGATGCACGGTTGTAGACGATACACCCAGCTTATTTGCGGCATCTCGGAGAGAGAGGTTAGGGTTTCGCTTGAAACTACCGGCAACTCTCTTTGTCGTCTCAGCGGCTTCCGGTTTTCGATTTCCCCCCGATCCAGACTTCCTGGCTGTCGACAAACGTTCCCCAAACACTTTAATTACATTTGTAACGGTTGATTTGGCAACTTTTAGCGATTTTGCCAACTTTGCATGCGAGTAGCTCGGATTTTCGCGATGCGCGAGCAAAATTTTGATACGCTGCTCTTCTTGCTTGGACGGCATTTTGACAACTGAAGAGTGAATTCCAAAATCAAAATAGGAGCAACATTCTACACACACACACCTTCAAAATGAGGGGTATTCAGGTTTTTTAAATGCAAAATTGAAAGAAATACGTCAAGTTGATATTGACCAAATTTTGACCGTATCACCCTTTATATAATGTCTGGTCCACTTATGGCGGTAAGCTCCAACTCGGATTAACTTTTAATACCGTCCCTGTTTGAATGATCTGCGAATTGTTTGCATAGCATCGTGTTGAATAACTCTGATGTCGACATCAAAGCAGCCGGACATTCTTGATTGGGATTTAATCCGAGGATAATACCGATTGGAGCTTACCGCCATTAGAATCCGAATACATAAAACCAGGCGTTTCTCGGGATTTATTTGACGTAAGAAAAATTTAATTTCGTCAAAATGACGACGTTTGGATGAACTCACGGACTGGCTTTGGAATTCCCACCATCATCTGTCGCACACTGGACTGGTCAACCTCAGCGGCCATTTCATCAGTTTCCGGACGAATTTATCGGCGAAAACACACATGAATTTGCTGGGACATCACCCCGTGCAGTGGCCAAATAAAACTTTTGGAATCTGCGTGCAATCATTATTAGGCAGACATGTAGGTTTCGTAGTCCATGAGAAGGCATCCTCTGTACTTCGTCAGAACCCGGTCGTACAACTTCCAGGCGCGTGTTCTGGCCACTACATTCTGTTTCATCGACCTGTTCGGTTGCTTGGAGCCACGGCATTAACGGTAACCTGCTCGTAAACGAATCCTCCGGCCAGTACTACGAGTGGCACCGTATTTTTTGGCAACATCCCGATCCGAGAGTCTTGGGTTTCTCTTGATCAACCTCAATGCCTTAGAATTCAGCTGCCGATCCAAATTTCCAGCAGGGCGTTTTCTTTGAACCTTCCGAACCACACTCTTTCGATCACGAAACCGCTTGAGAACATCTCCACATGGTAGAAACGGCAATTTTCAACCTTTTCGTGATATTTCGAATTTACCACGTCGGGATTCTGTTCTCGTCTTCCATCTAGTACAACTTTTTTAATACTGCACGTATCGAGGCGAAACTTTCACCACTAAACAAATCGCTGTTTAAACATTCCAAATCTGACCACTAGAGGCGTTGCTATAGAATAAACAAAGTGTCCGGATTCTAAGTGGACCAGACTTTATGGTCACTTGGGATCAAATTGGTTAAAGCAGATTTTTAATTGCTGTATCTGTGTTCGATGATCATATTTCAGCTAATTTTGTGTTTTTCCCATTAATAATTCCGCAATTTAAATCATTTAATTCGAAAGGCAGAAATAAATTCAAGCTGAAGTTGTTGCATCATAGAGATCCAAGTAACCACGTGCACCCTTTGGCCATCACTGGGCTAAGGTTATCATTGCAATCATGTAGCCAGGGTTCAAACAATCCTCAGGTTTGCTGTTTTCTGTCTTCATTCAGGATCAGGATTTTTTTTCTAACTACACTGTATCACCATTCAAATTGAAACATCGGAATAGCTTTTTTGAATAAGCGCTGTAGCCGGATGACGATTGTTTTGTAATCAGATCATGCTCATATCATAGAGCGATTCCCAGTTTCCAAAGAAATGGTAAATTCATTACAAGATGGCACGGGAAGCAGCAAAGCATTGAAAGACCGGAAGTAAAAGTCATTGAACTTAATATCACTCAAAAAAAAATTAATAACCTCAAGACAGCCATCCTCTCATGAATCCCGTCTATAAAACTAAAACTTCTTTTAGCTTGAATTTTGCCGAGAATCCGCGCTGGGATTATGTTGAAAATCCCGTCTTGGATTCTGAAAAGTACCTCATCTGGGATTCTGTAAGGAATCCAATCTGGGATTATGAAAAAAATATCACATCTGAGATTCTCAAAAAATCCCATCTCGGATACCGAAGAGAATCCCATACAAGATTCTGAAGAGAATTCCACCTGGGATTCTGAAGAGAATCACAAGTGGGATTCTAAAGGGAATTATATCTGGGATTCTGAAGAGAATCCCTTCTGGGAATTCTGATGAAAATCCCTACTGGGGATTCTGAAGATTATGAGATTACGATTCTAAAGAGAATCCTTTCTGGGTTTCCGGAGAGGATTCCATCGGGGATTCCGAACAGAATCCCATCGGGGATTCCGAACAGAATCCCATCGGGGATTCCAAAGAGAATCCCTTCTGGGAATTCTTAAGAGAATCCCTCCTGGGGATTCTTAAGATAATCCCTTCTGGGATTCTGAATAGAATCCTTTCTGGGGTTTCTGTAGAGAATTTCTTCTGGGGGTTCTGAAGAGAATCCCATCTGAGATTATGATACCGGGATACCAAAGAGAATCTTATCCGGGATTCTGAAGAGAATCCCTTCTTGGAATTCTGAAGAGAATCCCATCTGGAATTCTGAAGAGAATCCCTTCTGAGGATTTTGAAGAGAATCCGTTCTGGGGATTCTGAAGTAAATCCCTTCTGGGGATTCTGAAGAGAATACCTATCTGAGGATTCTTAAGTGAATCCGTTTTGGGGATTCTGAAGAGAACCCCATCTGAGTATTCTGAAGAGAATCCGTTCTGGGCATTCTGAAGGGAACCCCTTCTGGGCATACTGAAGAAAATCCGTTCTGTGGTGTCTAAAGAGAATCTCTCCTGGGGATTCTAAAGAGAATCCCTTCTGGGATTCTGAAGAGAACCACTTCTGAGGATTCTGAAGAGAATCCTTTCTGGGGATTCTGAAGAGAATCCGTTCTGGGGATTCTGCAGGGAATCCCTTCTGGGGATACTGAAGAGAATCCGTTCTGGGGTGTCTGAAGAAAATCCCTCCTGGGGATTATAAAGAGAACCCCATCTGAGGATTTTGAAGTGAATCCGTTTTGGGGATTCTAAAGGGAATCCCTTCTGGGGATACTAAAGAGAATTCGTTTCTTCAGGGCATTCTGAAGAGAATCCCTTCTTGGAATTCTGAAGAGAATGCCATCTGGAATTCTGAAGAGAATCCCTTTTGAGGATTCTGAAGAGAATCCGTTCTGGAGAGCATGAAGGGAACCCCATCTGAGGATTCTGAAGTGAATCCGTTCGGGGGATTCTAAAGAGAACCCCATCTAAGGATTCTGAAGAAAATCAGTTCTGGGCATTCTGAAGGGAATCCCTTCTGGGGATACTGAAGAGAATTCTTTCTGTGATGTCTAAAGAGAATCTCTCCTGGGGATTCTAAATAGAATCCCTTCTAGGGATTCTGAAGAGAACCCCTTCTGGATATTCTGAAGTGAATCCGTTCTGGGGATTCTAAAGGGAATCCTTTCTGGGGATACTGAAGAGAATCCGTTTTGGGGTGTCTGAAGAAAATCCCTCCTGGGGATTCTGAAGAGAACCCCATCTGAGGATTTTGAAGTGAATCCGTTCTGGGGATTCTAAAGGAAATCCCTTCTGGGGATACTGAAGTGAATCCGTTCTGGGGTTCTGAAAGGAATCCCTTCTGGGGATACTGAAGAGAATCTCTTCTGGTGATTCAGAAGAGAATCCATTCAGGGCATTCTAAAGAGAATCCCTTCAGGGCATTATGAAGAGAAATCCTTCTTGGAATTCTGAAGAGAGTTCCATCTAGAATTCTGAAGAGAATCCCTTCTGGGATTCTGAAGAAAATCTCTTCGGACGATAATCCCAGTTGAGTTTCCGAAGAGTATCCCATCTAGGATTCTTAAGACGATCCCATCTATGATTCCGAAAAGAATCCCATCTGGGATTCCGAAAAGAAACCCATCTGGGATTCTAAAGAGAATCCTTTCCTCTGATATTGAAGAGAATCCCTTCTTCTGATGTTGAAAGCAATCCCATCTAGGATTCTCCAGAGAAAAAATCGGACCTTACGGTGATCCATTATGGTATTGCAGTATAATCCAGGTTGTGTAGAAAACCTTCTGAGATTCTGCTGTGACATCCTTATTCTCGGAACCACCACTTTAAGTGCACAAATATCAGCTTCTACGACACGTTCAACATTCAAATTGTCACTCCAAGTTTGCTGCACTGCAACATGCATGAAGTAGTAATTTCAGGTGAAATTGGACACTGATTTCCGAGATTTGCGTCATTGAAGATTCGAAGTGGAAGTGCATGTATAGCTTACGTGGCAGCAATTTGTGGACTCTACAAGGAATCACCTTAACGAGTTAAATTTATCTCGGAAATTGGGACACAGCCTTAGGCTAACACACCCACTCAAACTAACTAAATCATCTGACAGAGCAATGTTTGTTCTATGAGCTGGTGTAGTCAGATTCCGTGGGTGTGGAGTCATTCAAGAGAAATCGACGTTCAAAGTCATTGTTTACATGTTTCCATTGAAATGGAGTACAGCCTAAGGCTGTGAACCATTTGTCGAATTTAATTTAACTCGTGATTAAAAGTGACCATTCGAAAGTTATTGCTTATGTTCGAAAATCCCCGTGCTGTCGATCGACCGGTTTTCGAGCCACGGTTGTCAAATTTTAACTTCTTGTCTGTCAGAAATAACCATAATCGATAACTTTCCATCTGTCAAATTTTAACCAAAAGTTAAAAAATTCATTCAAAGCGTTTCACTTCATACGCGAAGTTTGCGATTTTCAGAGTTGGTTGGAAATGCTAACATGAAGCTTTAGTGTGATAATTTATTAGCTAGCGAATGATCTTTAGAAGAGGGTAGGTGGATAGTTCTGTTAAGGCCCACGCACATAAGATCCAGATCGGACGCGTTGCGGCAAATTGACAGCTAAATCTATTGTGTAACTGTCAAATTTACGTCAACGCAACGCAAACGGATCTTATGTGAGTGGCCCTTTAGGGTACGGCAGTGCTTTCTCTTTGAGATAACCAAGTTGGTCATGACGGGAGGAGCAAAACAATAGTTTGGTAAAGAAGAATTGCATTATAACACACCATCGACTGGAAATGCTCTCGCAACGTGAGGCTTTAGGTAGCGATGAAACGTCACTAGAACTATTCCACAACCGCCGTCAGTAATGAGCAAAAGGCGGACGCACATCTTTTGCCTGTAGACTTGAAGACATACTTCAAGTCTCCGCGTACATCGTACGGGTTAGGCAAAAGATGTGCGTTTGACTTTATACTGTTGCATTAATGGTCCTTCGCTCATTTTCAACTTCTATTCAATTTTCATACTGCCGTACCCTAACGAAACTATTCACCTACCCTCTTCTAAAGATCATTCTATAGCTAATAAATTATCACACTAAAGCTTCATGTTAGCATTTCCAACCAACTCTTAAAAAATTCGTCAAATGGTTCAGAGCCTAAGTATGCGAGAAACCCACAAGTTGTACACGTAATTGACTAATGTTAACGATTGATCGTTGATAATGTCTTTAACGGGTTTCAGATTAAATTTATCAATAATTTCAAACCGTAATCCTATCGACGGCTAACACTTTAAGGAAAATGTGCCTGATGTGATATATTTTGACTTAAATTTAACAGATGGAAAATTTTATGATAACATTCTCCCAGACTTATTTCTGGCAGACAAGGAATTAGTTTTGACAAACAATGGAACACAGCCTTTGGAGTATAAAAATATTAGGAATAGCTAAAAATCTAAAATTTCATATGGCCTTCCCATCTAACAATTTGAGATGATTACGATCTGAATTTGCAATATTTTAGCAGACGAAGCACATCTTTGGATGAATAAGCTCTTATTAAACCTTCAATGTTTGTTGGGATTGGATATAATTTTTTTTTTTTAATTTAAAAAGATTTCATCCATGCAACCAAA